TGGTTTGGGGTTATTTTGCAAGGGGAAACACATAATACAGGACACATATTTTACAGGATTATTTATCTAGTCACCCAAAGAATGATATACAGCCAGGTGCAGTGGCGCACACCTGCAATCCCAACATTCAGGAGGCTGAGGCAGGAGGGTCGTTGCTAGTTCAAGACCAGCCTGGGCTACAAAGTGAGCTCAAGGCCAGCTTGAACTGCATAGTGAGACCCTATCTCAAAAAGACGAAAACAAAACAAAACAAAACAAAGAATGATATACAAAAGAGTGCAGGAAATCTGTCCACACACTAAAGACCAGAGAACCCAGTTGAAGACTGGATCCCATAGAAATGTCCTGCATGAGTTCAGCTGAAGACCTAGAACCCATAACAGTGCCTCCCATGAGTCCAACTGGAGGCCTAGAGCCTGTGACAATATCTCATGCAGGCCTATTTCATGGATCTGCACTGGGAAGGTGCAAAGGTTTGTGGTAGAATCTAGAAAGTCTGTGCCAGTGGGATAAAGGATCTGTGCTAGCAGGCTGACGGATCTGCACTGGAGCCAGGGAATGACATGCAAAGTAGGGATCAGAGCTCCCCTGAAAAGTACCACAGCCACCCTCAGCAACAGTGAGGTCCCGAGCTCCTCCAGTTATCAGGACAGCTGAGTTCCCATCAGGAAAGCCAATGTGACAAGCTTCTTCAGGAGACTGAGCAGTGTACCATCTTCCCCTCCAGAGTCAGTAAGTGATGCTCAGAGTGAGGACCAGAGCTCCCCCAAAGTGAACCAAAGCCATTCTCAGTGCCAACAAGGTCCCAAGCTCCTTGTAGGATGAAAACATCCAAGTTCATCCAGAAAGCCAACATGACAAGCTCCTTACAGCTTTTACCAGCTCCCAACTGCCTCTGTCATCTCCCAATAGCCTCTCCCAGCTCCTTCTCTAGTTCTGCCTCTTATGATGCTGTTAACAGTCCCCAGGTAGGCCTCCCACACCCAGCACCATGCTTACTCAGTTCAGCTGGGGGTTACAAGTTGACCACCACTTGTCAGTCTACCACATGGAGTAAAGAGGATAATGGATTTTGGTAAACAATTGTTTATGTCATATCTGATTGAATCTTCAGAAACAGCCTTATGAAAATGGGTTTAAAGTAGGGCCTCATGGCACACATCTCTAATCCCACATTCTAGAAGCCTCAGGCAGAAAAATCATAAGTTCAAGCCCAGCCTGGGGGACCTAGAAACTTAGCAAAACCCAGTCTCAAAACAAAAATATAAGACCTTTCTAAAAAAAAAAAAATACTGGAAACAGCCCAGTGAGAAGGGCATTGGTTCAATCTCCAGTATTATAAAAAGAAAAAACCAAAAAAGGATCAAGAAATGTCTTCAAATGCCTACCATAATCTCTGAAGTCTTATAAGGACAAAATAAATTGAAATTATTATTTGCAGTTTCTTATTACAAAAAATTCAATGGGATGTAAACATTTGTTTGCCATTATATTATATGTGATGTGGCTGAGATGGCACTCTGTAATGGGTGATGTCAACTTGAAAATTTTAGGAGTTTAACTAAGTGACTAAGCAGGAGGCCAGGGCCCTCACTTGGACCTCAGCCTGTGCAAGAGGAAGACATGGAGATAGTGTGGTTGTAGAGCACCCATCCTAGGGTGGGTAGCCAGCATACAATATAAGGGAGAAAAAGAGGCTTGCTCTCCCCCATTTTTGCTCTTAGTGCTTTTGCTGTCTTCTGCTGCCTTGAACTGTTGTGCCAGGCCACCCTGCCTTGGAACCAGCTCATTATGGACTGAAACCTCTACAAACTGTGAGCTAAAGAAACCTTTCCTTCCTTAATTTTGGGTGTCAGGTATTTTGTCTTTGTAACAAAAGAAAAATAACTAAGACACACTCCTAGATTTTTGTTATTGCTAATTTCCAAGTTAACAATTGAATTGTTATTGCTAAACTAAAAATACTATGATTCTACAGTTGCAAATTTTTCCATGTTTCAAGAAACAGAATATTGGAGGGCAGAGTGTGTTTTATAATGGAGATATCACCCAAAGATTTTATTGACTATAACAATGGAACAAGTTTGATAAAAGTCATGGTATATCTCTGTGGATTGTTTCCTTTACTGAGATACTTATTTTTGGTAAGTGGAACCACATAGCCCCAAGCTTGTATCTTTTGGTATTCATAAAGAAATGTATAGCCAAGCATGGTGGAGTGTGCCTGTAATCCCAGCACTCCAGAGGCTGAGGCAAGAGGACTGCTGAGAGTTTGAGGCCAGCCTAAGCCATATAATGAATTCAAGGCCAGCTTCTGGTCTGCATAGTGAGATTCTGTCACAGAGAGAGAGGGAGAGTGAGAGAGAGGGAGAGAGAAAACAAAGAAAGAAAAAGAAAGGATGAAAGGAAAAGAGAGAGAATGAAAGAAAGAAAGAAAGAAAGAAAGAAAGAAAGCAAGCAAATGTGTATGTATGTATGTACCTGTGAGATTCCTCTACTCAGACCCCTGTTCCTGGCTTAGTGAAAAACAATGCTTCTTTTCCTAAAAAAGACATGAGTGAATTTATCCTGTGCTATTGGCACTTGAGATTCAAAACCTTAAGCAAATAAGCTAAACTCTCATGGTACAATTAGGTACCATGTCTGCCAGCCAAAAGGGACCTAGGGATCAGAGTGGCATCCCTTGTATTAAAAATGGTCAGATCCTCAGCCTGCTGTGGCTGTGACTGGAGTGACTTAGAACACTCTTAAGATTTTATTTTTCAACCCAAAAGTGAACTTTTCAAACAGAAACAACATGAACAAAAATAAATGCTAAGTGCCAAATAAATATTTCAGTACTGCCTTAAACTTAATAGTTTATTCTTTTTAAAATTCCATGTGCTTAATATGATTGATTTACTTGTTAAGCAAATATCATTGTACTTTCTGTGTACTAATTTCCTATCATGTGTGCTAAAGACACAAGAGTGGCTGGCCACTTTGGCTCATGTCTGTAATTTCAGCTACTAGGGAGACTACAGCAGAGGGTCACAAGTTGAAGGCCAGCCTGGCCAGCCTAGTTAGATCCTGCCTCAAAATCTAAAATTGAGCTGGGCAGTAAAGTGTAAAATACTTGTTTAGCATATGTGAGGCTGGATTCAATCCTCAAGACTACAAAAAAAAAAAAATACAATAGTGTACAAGGTAGACATAGTTTTTGCCATACTGGAAAGGCAGAATTTTAAATAATACTAATAAACGTATGCATAAAGAATTTACAAAGTTTGATAAATCCTAAAAAAGAAATAAACAGAGTAGTGCTATAAATAGCCATGGGAAGAGATCCACTTTAGGAATAGTGATAGTGATAGTGATAGTGATAATGTGTCAACTTGAGTTAGAAACACCCAACAGATTGGCTCAGCACAGCTCTGCATGAGGGTGATGGATTTACTGAAGATGGAAGAACCACAATGGGTATGGTTGACACCAACCAATAGGCTTGTAGCCTGGACAGAAAACAAGGGAAAGCAAGAAGGCTCACTTCTGTGCTTTGGAAGAGCTCCAGTCTTCAATTGGGTGCCTATCTCCTGGCTCCCATCACAGACCCTCTAGCCTCCTCATACAGATCTCGCAGGCCTCCACAGTGAGCTCCAGGCCTTTAAGATTTGACTGGACTGTCGGATCCCCAGTGTGGCCATGTAAAAATGCCCCAAGTGTGGCTGTAGAAGTGGCACTGTCTGTTCTGCACCAATGCATCTCCCCAGCCACCCTCTGAGAAGTCACACATTCCTAGTGGAGCAAGTATGAAGCCTCTGGCTTCCTGGATGAGGCTCCCATGCTTAAGAATGTCCACCCACTGCCTGTTCAAAAGAAACTCCTCAATTTCCCAGTGTTGCTTTCCTCCTTCAGGATTTTTCCAGAAATATTATTGAATTAGGCAATGCTGAGAAAAGTAAAAATTTTCAGTTCCATCTCCTTTGCTTTAGTTCATGCTTGTCCTTCCCAAGCATCTGTGCACAGAACACACAGCAAACCCTCTGCCTCCAATGTGAAGTTCCTGAGCCTTGGCTGACATGACCCACTTCTCTCCTGCGGTCCCAACTCACAGTCTCTGCCTCTTCTCAGGACCCACTGAACACTGGGGAAAGAGAAGAAAAGGAAGGGAAGTAGAAGGGGAAGAAGGGAGAGAGGGAGGGAAAATCTCACCACATTAATTAAGCACAGGCCAATTGTTCAGCAGTTTTCATAACGCATAGATAAAATATCTGAGATCAATACCACACGCTGTTACAGTTTGGACCAGAAATATCCCCAAAGGTTCAGGGGTCTGGAGGACAGGCTTTCAAAGGTGAACGGATTGTGCACTGCTCATCTTCTTAGCAGACTGCTACACTGATGGCTCCCAGCGGAGTGTGCAGTTCGAAGCCAGGGCCTGGGGCTGGAGCAAGCGGGTCGCTAGGGATGTGATCTGGAAGTACATCACGTTTTCTATCTAGATGTCCCCCAAGAACCTCGTGGGCCCTTTGGCAGGGCTTTTTTTGTTTGTTTGTTTTTTGTTTTTTTTTCTGGTACTGGGGATCGAACTCATGACCTCACACTTGCCAGGCAGGCGCTATGCCACTGGGCTAAATCCCCAGCCCCGGCAGGGCTTTTAGAAGATAGCTACACCATGGGGGCTGACAGCTGGCCTGCATTGGGAGGTGGGCTCTGGACAGAGGGTGGCTCTCAGGGGCATACCTGGCTGGGAAGAGTTTACTCACCCCATCCCCAGCTCCTCTCTTCACTCCACCTGCTGTCCACCAGGCCTGAGTAACTCTGCTCGGCCAGGGCTTCCTGCCAGGCCACCCTGCCTCAGTGCTAGTCAACCATGGACTCAGGCTCTAAACTGAGCCAGTGTAAACCTCTCCTCTCTGAAGCTGATGCTGTGGGGCAGTGTGTCTCAGCAAAAGGAAGATGACTAAGAGAGAGGGTGTCTGCCTTTGTCTCAACCCTTCCTCTTTCTCTGGCTCTTCCAGACTCTGCTCCAGCCACCATGGAAGGCTGCTTCCCTCCCGGGTGCTCTCTGTGGTGCTTCTGCCTTGGCACCAGCCAGCCACGGGCTGCAAGCTCTGAACTGGTGAGCCAAAGTAAGTCCTCTCCCCCTGGGCTGTGTACCTCAGGTGTTTGGTCCCAGCTGACTGATGTGCAATCGATAATGAGGCACTGTGTGCTGAGCATTCACCACCCAGGACCAGGGACTTTCTGGTCTGTCTACTCACACTGTAACCCTGCACAGTGCCCTGTAGTGTGTACTTGATTCTCCCTCCTTCCCTGGTGAGGAAACTGAGAGCCATGAAAAGTAAACTAGGGCCCAAGGTTACAAGGCCATACACTAATTCTGATGATGTCTTTGTACACATTTAAGAAAGAGAGTAATAGTTAATTTTATGTGTCAACTTGACTGAGTTAAGGGTTACCCACATAGCTGGTAAACCACTATCAGGCTGTGCTTGTGATGTCTTTCCAGACACAAGCCTTGCCGATGTCGGTGAGCACTGTCCAATCCACGGAGGATTCAGACAGAACCTAGGGTAGAGGAAAGACAAATTCTCTCTCCCTTCTTGAGCGAGGACAGCTATCATCTACTGCCCCTGGAAGGTGCAGAGAACCTGATTCTCTGATTTTTTAAACTCTGAGAATTACACCAGCACCCTTCAAGTCCAGTCCTCAAGCCAGCAGCCTCAGACTAGCAGTGATAGCATCAGTCCCCTGGTCCTCCAGCCTCAGTCACATGGAATTACACTGATGGCTTTTCTGCATCTCTAACCTGTTATCCTACATATCTGGGGACTTCTTGGCTCCATTATTGCATGAACCAATTTATATTTTTTAAAAAACCTCTCTTTGTCCCTGTCTCTCCCCGTCCCTTCCTTCCCCTCATGAGATTTTGGTTAGTTTTCAAAATTATAAACTAACCTCAACTTCGAGGTAGCTTTCTTTCCCATTTGAAAGGGCTAAGCTGTGAAGACCCTGGAGCTCACCGCGAAGCTTTGCAGCGCGGTCTTTCACTCCTCTTGGACTTCCTCGGAGCTGAGCAGGTCGGGAACAATTGGGGCCATGTCCCTGAGAGCCAACGGGGATGCTCCAAGTCCAAGGGTCTGGAAGGGTCTGGAGCATGCAGAGGGATGGAGGTTGTAGGAGGGTCTGAGAATCGAGTGAGGCTCACACATCTGGAGTCTACCTCATGGTGTGCCTCGTTAATTTTGGGGATTTGGACCCCTTCCCCCTGTCTTGGTTACTTTTTTCTCGTTGCTGGTACAAAATACCTGACGCCCAAAATTAAGGAAGGAAAGGTTTATTTCGCTTACAGTTTGTGGAGGTTTCAGTCCGTACTTGGCAGATTACAAGGAAGACTGGCACATGGCAGAGAGCTACGGCTCATGGCGGCAAAACACAGCAAAGCAACAACCACACACCAGGGTGGAATCGGGGAGGAATGGCCTCAAGCACTCTTTTCCTCTCCCTTACATACGCAAACTATCCACCCCAGGGCGGGTGAAGCTCTCACACCCATAATCAAACTCTAAAAGCCTGCCCCATGGCCGTATGAGGCTTTGAGGGGACACACAGACATAAACCATAACATCCCCAGAGGTTTGACTTAGGACAACTGGGAAAGTCAGTGTACACTGAAGCCTGGGTGGCAGATGACCATGCTGTGGCCACGGCCAGTGTCAGAGTTTTGGTCCCAGCAAGGTGAGCTGCCACTGGAAGACAGGGGTGGTGGGCTCTGTGCAGGGCGCAGGAGAGAAGGGGGAGAGGCAGGCGCTGGGAGCATGGGCTGTTCGCTGCCCAGTCCCCTTGGGACTGGCACAGAGGACCTTTCGGTCCAAACCCTTGACCCAACATCTCCGGGTCAGGCAACCGAGCCAAAGGAGAGTCTACAGCTGTTTTCGGACGAAGGCCACGCGTCTCCAGCCATGTCCATTGCATTTAGGAAATGTGTGCTGAGCACATGGAAACACTCCGCATTTAAAGGCTTGCGTTTTTTCCAGCTAAGAGCATAAGCTCCACATCACTGAGGTCTGAGTTCAAATTCCAGAAAGGCGCCCAAGGGGTGCGCCCCTAACTTCTCCCACAACTTGAACTCGCCCAGGCCGTGCAGGTGGCTGCTTTTCCTTCGGACCCTGTCATCCAAGCAGCAATTGCGTTTCCACGAAGCCTTGTTTTACTTTGGCCTCGACCTATGCTCTGGTTTTTATTTTAATAATGTACTTAAGTGGTCATTTTTCTAAATAAGCAGAATTTTTAAAATAACAGACCTACCCTAGGACTGAGGCCAAAGGGTTTTCTGGGGAGCAGAGTGCGCGGGAATTCCCAGGGCAGGGTTGGCCGCGCTGGAGGCCGGGACTCGGGGGAGACTCGGCGCGGCTCTCGGGGAGGCGGCGCCGGAGCCCCGCGCGAGGGGTCTGGCGGGTGTGCACCGGGCGGCGTTCCGACCGCCGGGAG